AAAAAAAAAAAAAAAAGCTTCCAAAATATTTGCACGCTTCGTATAGAAACAAAAGCTGGGCAGGTCCCAATCATTATTTGAAGTTCGTTTTTAGTTTGTAGTAATGAAATCAACTCTAATGGAGATAGACTAGGTCTCTACTTGAGTCTAAAATAGACTTAAGGATAGACCGAGTCCTATTTTTTGTTGCCACATCAGCAAGACCTAGTCCAATTGCATTTGTATTGGAGTAATATTTTTCTAGACTAGGTTTATTTCCTATGTGGACTATATATTTTTTTTTGAAATAACTCAAAGCATTGTGGATGCTCTAGTTGACCCATAGTTTTAAACTCGGTCCGAGAATCGACCCGGGCAGGACTCCGGGTCATCGGTTCAACCGCCGAGTCACTGCATTGGAGTATTTTGTCGTATAAATATAAATAAAAATAACAAAATTTAAAGTTTTGTATATATAAACTTTGTACTATAAAGTGTTAGTAATATCTATTTCATGATAAATATTTACCATATTAATATATATACATAGTTTTATTTTTTAAAAACAAAAATATTTTAAGAAGTAAAAAAATAATAAAAAATAATAAACGTTGGGTCAAGACTGGGTTTTGACTGGGTTTGATCGGGTCCTTTGTTGCCCGGTCCGAACAGCCCACCCAGATTTGTTCCGACTCTAGGTCGACTGGGTCTCAGGTCGACCCGCCAGGCCGGTCCGAGTTGGAAACACGAGTTGACTACAATTTTTTTTTGAAAAAAAAAAGTAGTGATTCTAACCATTAGACCATCATGTTTATTTATTTATTTTGTAGTTTCATATATAAACTATACACACAATTTCACTATATAAAATTAATCATCATATATTGCAAAATAATAAAAAAATTATAAATTTGATAGTATAAATTTATATACATATCAATCCAACACAATTATTTACCAGATAAATAAAAATATATATATATATATATATATAGGATAACCTGCCAAAAAACAATCATCATATTCACACACTAACCAACGCGACTAATGCATGTTTAGCAGCAATAATCATAGTATTTATTTACAACACAATATTAATAAAATCCATCTACAATTTGCCCATTGGCTCAAGTATCTGGACGTTTAATCCATACGCCGTCGCACGATCTTCCACGTAATTAATCTCCATAATTACTTTCACCCCCCCTACATTTATTTATTTATTTACTCACTCCAATTTAATCATCTATTTATATATATATTTACACACACACACACACACATGTACTTATTTTACTTTTTACCATGCACATACTGTAAAATACTCCTTGAAAAAGAAAATTTTGAAATTAATCCTTAAAAAAAAAAAAACTGCAAATTTTTCAAAGTTGGATATGGAGATTGCTAATGTGGACAATGTGGGATGGCCTTCAAATCATAATCAACAACAAATAATCGCAACTACACAAGTTTACGACGATGTTTTCGCGTTTTCTTCGCAAATCGACCCTTTGGATTTTAGGTAATTTCAGTATATATATACGTCGTTTAAGTCTAATTAACAAATTAGCTAGTTTTACACTATGTTACCCGGACTCTTCTGTTTAGGAAGAATACCCGTGTCATGTTGTGTCGGCACTGGTGTGGGTATGAGTGTCGGGTGTGGCATGTTAACATAAATTAATGTTCAAGATTTCTAAACTATTGACGAGTCGGACGCTCATATCTCCACACACCCGATACGCCACCCATATCCGAGTCCAGGTAGCATAGGTTTATCATAGTAAATTGTAACTCAAACTTATTTTCTTGCTTTTTTTCTTTCAATAATTTTCTTGGTTTGTGTTAGTGTGTGTTTTGGAAGCAATGAGACTGGTGAAGATGTGTCTTGGTGGGATTTTCAGCATAAAGATCAAATCCTTGTGAATGATCCATTTTGTTCATCTCATGTGGATCTTACACAAAACCATTCTTTGGTTCCAGGTAAGCAATGTTATATATATATATATATATTATTTTTATATTTTTATCAAGTTATTTTTAATATAAATTGAAGATTTTACTATATATATGTTTGCATTCTTATTAGATTTTTAATCAATTGTAGTATTAATCAATGATGGTTTCATATGTAAATTATAATTATATAGTAATAAATTTAGCGAATCGGTGGCTTGTCCGGTATGATTGCTCTCGTTTGGTTAATGTATAACTAATATATATGTCATTTTATTTTATTTTACTTTATGAATCATGATCATGGCAAAATAATCCTTTTTTTTTCTTTGTCAATAATTTTATGCCATTTTTTTTTTTTTTTCGGGCGATGCAGATTTTTTATTTTGCGACGAGCAAATGCAAAACGGGTTTGTGCCCGACCCGCAATATCACCAACAGTTGGTGTTATTGGAGGCAAACGGTACGGAGGAAAAGAAACTCACGGGCAAACGGCGAAGAGAAGAAGAAGAAAATGCGTTTAGTAGTTCGAGAAAATTGTCAAGAGAGACTATTTCGCAATACTTTTACATGCCGATAACACGAGCTGCACGGGAGCTAAATGTCGGTTTGACTCTGTTGAAAAAGAGGTGTAGGGAGCTTGGGATTAGGAGGTGGCCTCATCGGAAGCTTATTAGTCTTCAAACACTTATCAAGAATGTTGAGGCAAATTACTCTTCTCCTTCTCTAAAAAAAACAAAAGTTTTGCTTATTAGAAGTTAGATTTAATATTATTATTGCATGATATTTGGTGTTGCCTTGGTTTTATTAGTAAAGGTGACTGTTTATTCTGTTAAGTTGTAAGATTTTGTGTGTTTTTCCTTATTATATTGTTCAATTATTTATTTATTTATTTTTGGGTTTTGACAGGAATATGGCAAGGAGGGATTATCAGAAGAAGGGAAGTTGAGAGAACATTTACAGATTTTGGAGCAAGAGAAGAGATTGTTGGAAGAGATACCCGACATGGAAATGGAGGACACGACCAAGAGACTAAGGCAAGCTTTTTTCAAGGCGAACTACAAAAAACGCAAACTTATGGGTACCGTTGGATCTTGTTCGACTAAACCTCAACCGTCTAAAAGCCACAATCCAGCATTGATGATGGCCGTTGATAAAGTTGTAGTTGATGATGGTGATGGGGACAAAGACGACGACGAGGAGCTTTTTAGATATTTTCTGGAAGATTGCTTTTCTTTGTAATTTAATCTAGTGTTTGGTTAGCTGGTTTGCTATTAGCTTGCAATCCATTTGTTCATTTTGCTTTGCTGGGTTGGTTTTAGAAAACAGAGAAGAAAATATGCAAACTGTGCAAATTTTCATCTTTTGCTTTGTTATGCAAACTTAAGATCATTTTGAACGTTAATAGTACACATCAAAAGCCATTAGAATCTGCCAACAAAATGTAAACAAAAGCCAGAGATTTTGATTTTCCTCATATAAGCTATAAACTTAAGTCAATCTTATTTCTTCTTCGACTCAAAACTCACACACAAAGACTCATGAATCAGAAAACTACAGACAAGATTCTATCCACCCGCAAAAAAGATTCCCAAGATTCATCGTCAAAATCCAGTCGCTACACAACGAGCACACAAAAAGTACAAACAAAATATCTCTAACAAAACATGACCAAAGGGGGAAAAACTCCAAACCCTACTTTTATTTCATTCCCCTCGAAAAGAAAAAAAACGAGCGCTGCTCAAGCTGCCACAGGCTGCTTCCTGACGAAATCCACGCCTTTTTCGATACTCGCCTTAAGCTCCGGCTTGAGATCCTCCAATCCCTTGCTCTCGTACTCGGTCAGCCCCTCGAGATCCTTCTTCACAAACCCTTCCACCCCTTGTTTACCAATCTTCACCCTCGACGCGAAAAACGGCAGCTCGGGCACTAAGCTCGACTCAACATACGCGAATTCATAAACATCTGTATCCCCATCGAGTGCCCTCAAAGACGACTCCAAAAAGCGTGCCGCCGCGTAAGCCATCGACAGCGTGGCGGACCCCGCACCGGCCTTAGCTTCCACCACCTCTGTCCCCGCATTCTGTATCCTCCCCGTCAGCTCCGCCGCCTCCTCCGGCGAGAAACTCGTCGAAGGCCTCGTTTTCGACAGCAGGGGTAAAATCGTGATTCCGGCGTGCCCACCGACTACCGGCACGTCCACATCTATCAGCTTCAGGTTTTTCTTCTCGGCCACGAACGTGTTGGCTCGGATCACGTCGAGCGTCGTCACGCCGAAAAGCCTTTTCGGGTCGTAAACGCCCTTTCGTTTCAGTACCTCGGCAGCGATCGGGACGGTCGAGTTGACCGGGTTGCTGATGACGTGGACGAACGCGTCGGGACAGGTGTCGGCCACGGCCTCGACGAGGCTCTTGACGATGTTGGCGTTGATGTTGAAGAGATCGTCACGAGTCATCCCGGGCTTGCGCGGGACACCAGCTGGAATGACGACGACATTCACGTCTTTCAGGCAGTCGGAAAGCTCGGAAGCTCCGGTGAAGTCTCGGACGGTTGATGGGGTGTTGCAGTGGCTGAGGTCAGCGGCGACGCCTTTCACGTTGGCTATGTCGTAGAGGTTGAGGGAGGAGACGAGCGGGAACATCTTGGCGAGGAGGGCCAGCGGCTGGCCGATCCCACCGGCCGCGCCAAGAATGGCCACATTGAAGGAAGCTTGGGGAACGAGAGGCCGTTTTTGGGTTTGTTTCGAGAGGTTTGGCGAGTGGGAGGAAGTGAAAGTGAGGGTTTTGCTGCTGCCGAGAAAGGGTGAGTTTAGGTGGCTGTGGGTTTGTAGAGAAGACATGGGCCGGAAGTTGGGCTTAAGGGTGAAGGCTCGGGATTGCATGTGGTGGCCGGAGATGGGAGACCCGATCGAAAGTGTGGTTGCTGATGTCACCGCCATCTAGAATGAAACCTGCGTAGATTGATCGGGATTGTGTGAACTTTTTTTGTAATAGACAAAAATGAAGCTACGAATAAGAGAAGCATGGATGATTCATCACAAATCGGCAATTGATATACAATAAGTAATCAGTATATATACACACCCCATAAAGAGATATTGTCGTTTCGAAATAGCTTTGTTTTTTTTTTCAGTTAAAAAGCAGAAAATGCATGTAGTTAGTTCAATGTGTGATTTGGGGTTCAGAAACTACAAATAGTAGATAGGGAGAGCTTCTGCAGAGATTTATAGTTTAAGAAAAGGAAATTGATTCACTGACATTAAGAAAAAGACAGCTGAAAATCAAGAGAGTAATGTTTGCAAATACTAGCTAGCTAAAACTTGTGTTAGCCCAAGTGTTCATCTGTTTGGCAAAACATACAATCCATCCATCCCCAGAGCTTTTAGATTTCGATCAAGCCATACAGAGACAAAAATGGAATTGGCATTTGGATATAATAAGAGCTTCTTCTTTTTCAGCCAGAAGAAGGCAGTCACGTATGTTGAGTGATTGCAAACAAACTATTATCCTAGTAAGATAACAGTCAAGTTCCATTACCTCGAATTATTCAAGCAAAACTCAATCCCATGATCTGGTTCGAGAAGAAAAGATTAAAACATATTTACTTGATGACAATTTATCAAACACCTTCAAAACATCTCCAACTAAGACATCTTTATTTGTAATAAACAGTAGAAATTAGAAAATGCAAGAAAATCAGAAGCCAAACAGGAAGCGAAACACACGACCAAGCTTAAACGAGCTTTTATCCATGAATGCTCGATTCACTAACCGCAGCCGTAACCCAATAACCTACAGTTTTACTGTTTAGAATGCCGGTCAAATCCTATACAGCTAAACATATATAATCAAGCACAGAGTTTTTTTATGCCCTGAAACAGACACAACCACAAACTCCATTGCTAAAATGCTCAACAGCCCAAAAAACTAATCTATTGAAATCAGATTGAACATCATTCATCTACAATAAAAGTGAAACGAAAATCGACGAGCCAACACAAAATTGACCACGAAATAACAAATTTTACTTCAATCAAACAATAGTTTTCAGATCTATGGCACACCACAAAATTCCCGTGCTTGAAACAAAATACGCAGCTCACAAGAACTCATGAACCTTCCAAATCAGGAGATAAACGAGGCGCAAGCTCAATACAAACGCAAATTCACAAAAAAACATCACAAACGCAACAGATCTATGCGCCAAAATACGGTAAATTAATCCAAAAAACAGACAGCAAAAAATGAGATAAACTGTGAACAGTACGAAGAAGGATAGATAAAAAGAAAAGGCACCTTTTCACACGCACAAACACGCTCTTAGTGCGTGAATTCAAGGGAAATTAGGTTTAGGTCTAGCTTTCTCCGCCGCAGGACCTTCGGATCGAATCTACACAGAGCACTTGTGTACTTTGCGTGTGTATCTATCTATAGGTTTACCAGTGAGTCAGTGACAGTGAAGACTGAAGGATGGGAAAACACAGAAAAATGCTGGTATTTATTACTTTGGTTGGGTAATCCAAACTCAGATTTATTAATGAAGCTCGAATTCGACTCGATTATTTAACAAATCGAAATCAAGCCGCGTCGAGAATACTCGAGCTCAAACTTGAGCTTTTGTCGAGACGAATTCGAACTCGACTCATTAACGAAACAAATTTATTTGAACTATATTCAAATTTCACTCATTAACTAAACATGTTTATTAAAGTTCAAATTTAATTCATTTTTTAACCAGCCGAACAAAATCGAGAATACTTAAGTTCGAACTTGAACTTTTTCGAGTCGAATTCGAACTCGGCACATTAAGGAAACGAGTGTATTAATAATCGATTCGACTCGTTTATTTAACAAGCTGAGGTGGGTCGAGATCACGAACGAATTGGTTGCTCTAAATATTAATGAAAAGCATGAACTAGGAATCTCTTTTTGGAGTGGGGTTGGATTCTCTGGGAAAAAGATCGTGGCCGCACATTGTGGAGTTGGGATCTACGGTAGAGCTGTAAACGAGCTGAGCCGAGCTCCTTAAGGTGCTCAAGTTCGAGCTCGAACCCTTAACAAGCCGAGCTCAAATCGAGCTCGGCTCGTTAATTAAAAGAGCCTGAAATCGAGCTCGAGCTCGGCTCGTTAAATAAACGAGCCTGAAATCGAGCTCAAGCTCGGCTCGTTAAGGCTTCAAGCTCGAGCCTTAACGAGTCGATCTCAAACTTTAACGAGCCGAACTATAAAAAATTATATAAAAATTCTATTTTCGAGCCGAGTCGAGCTCGGCTCGTTAGCCAAACGAGCTTTAATGAGCTCGAACTCGACTCATTAAGGCTTCGAACTCGAGTCAAACTCGAGTTTTAACAAGTCGAACTCGAGCCGAGGCAAGCCAAGCCGAGCAAGACTCGTTTAACTTAACAATACTAATCTACAGTGAGGATTGCTTCTGTTGGAAAATATTAGTAGGTTTAACTTTGGTGAATGGAGAAGAGCAATGATTGTTTACGGCCCTTTAGGCCTACACAGGGCTTAGAAAAAAGTTCTGGGTCAAAATAATTTGGGCCAACCTTTTCTTTGTTGGCCCAACCAAGAGAAGGAATGGAAAAATAGAGATTGATCCCTTTATTTACTTTTATTTTCATTTTTATGTCCTGATAATATTTCCTTTTCATAATGTCATTTTGTTTAGGAGTGTCATTAAATGATTTAAAAATAATACACTAATGTTGTTAGGCAAATTTAAATGTTACACAACCTTAATTTCTCAACACGTGTATACTTCTAAACTAAAAAATCATGTTCTAAACAACAATATAAGCAAAATAATTATGACATTTGATAGCATAAGTATGTAAATATATTAAAAAAAGTATAACGAGTTGACCTGTCTATTAGGCCATCTTACAAAATTTATGATATAAATATAATAATAATGTTTTTGTTAAATAAAGCTAACGATTAGACAGTCATACTTTTTCAATAGAAACTCGTACTTGGAAAGTAAACTCTACGCAAATATAAATATGCGTATCCTACATAACCAGTGCGCGTAAATTTTAATATGCCCACAATCTACATGACATTGCCACCTCAACAAACAAGGTAAGTAAATCTTAATCAATAATCTTTTATTTCTACTACGTCCATATTTTTCCACTATTTCCTTTTCACAAATATCATCGAAGTACAGAATCCACTAGTCCAATTTTTAGTCCCAAAAATGCAATATTTCTTATGGTGCCAAAACTGCAAAACAAGCATGTAACAACTAACAACACACCAAAAAACCAAAACCCTTCAAATCAATTCATTAACCCTTTCGGAATCTTTTCCAAGACTAAGCACAGCTCATCGGAGTCTACCGTCCGGTAGGCCCACAGCCTGACACATGTCTCGACCGCCAGCTCGTTTGTAGCCACGATATCCATCCACCCGCCGATCAACGCGTACATCGAGTTCGACTCCCACAGCTTCAACTCCACTCCGCATTCCCTCACGTTTGGCTGCACGAGCTTCGCCTCGATTCCCGTGCTCGACTTCTTCAGCTTCTCGGCTTCTCTCTCCAACAAGAACCGGTTTTTGACCTGGCAGCCCGGCACCGACAGCCTGGCGTGGCCCGGGCTCACGTCCGACCAGAACAGCTTCTTCTCGATCACCAAAACCACGCTCCCGGGTCGACCCGAGTTCTCGATAATGTAGTCCACGAACTCACGGGCCGGGCCAGGGTCGGGTGGGTCGACGGTCCTCGTCATCATGACGTGGTCCTCAATTTTGAACCTCGGCTTCTTCTTGCTTGTGAGTTGGATAGGGTTAGGGTTAGGGTTTGTGGGCCTGCCGGTTTGAAGGTTCTTGAACTTTATCTTGATACGGGCCGAGCTGGATTCGGGCTTTTCATCGGCAGGTTTCGGCCCGGTTCTTGGGGAACGCTTGGCCTTTCTTGAGAAGCCCTCCAATGGGGATGGGCTTTTTAGTTGGGAGAGTAGATCTTCGAGTCGAACTCTGCCTTCGGAAAGCATAGCCGCGAGCTCGACGAGGCAGTTCCACCGCCTCTCGTTGGCCGTGATGCTGCCGGTGTCAGCCATTGTTGGCCGGAGAAAGAAAGGAAAGAGTTGCAAGGAAAGAAAAAAAAATATATAAAACAAAGTTGAGATGTGTTCAAACTGTGAAAGAGGTTTTTAGATTTTTGGGGTTTAACTATAGAAGTATAAACCTGCTTGAAATAGGAAAAGATTTTGAAATAGGCAAGGTTTTACTTAATTTTCACATTGGGTTTCAATATCTGATACAACCGTATTTATTATTAGATGAATATAAATATATTTTTCAATATTTTTGTTTTGTAAAAAGCTATAAATGTTTATTATTTTGATTTTCAATCAAGTTATTAAAGTGAAGATATATCTAGAGTGGAGTTATACTACCCAAACTTCATATTCTTTAACTAGTAAGTACCCGTGCGGTGCACGAGACAAAAATATTAAATGAGTTATTTTCACAACCTTGTTCGTTTAAGTCTAAAAAGTAATAATGTTATTATCTATTTTCTACCTCTTTTAATCAACGTTAAGTCTAAAAAATTATTAAACTGCCATCTGGCAAATATGTATGGAGTTATGTGTTTGTGTCTCATAAGTCACAAACATTATGAATAACAATACAAATTATTCATTCAAACTTTTATTCATTGCAAATATATTAAAATAGATTATATAACAGTCATTAAATACCACTTTCAATATATTTATAAATAAAAAGTACATAAAATTTATGGTGCGTTCAAATTTAAATAATTTTTTATGGGCTCAATTTTAAATCATCCAGACATTTGGTCAAACACATATGCGTGTTCAAATTTAAATCATTGACATTTTGGTCGGTTGAAATTTAAATCATCTATCATGGTACTGTGATGTGTATTATATATATATATATATATACAATTTTTTAACAAATAATATGTGCTTTATAAAAATAATAATAATAATTTAAAAAAATTAAATATAAAATTTGGTTTTTAATCACAATAGAAAAATCATGTTAAGTTGTATTGGAAACGTGTTATGAGATAAAACAATTAACTAAAATAATTAAATAAAATACTTTATGGAAATAATATGCATTAATTATCTTTGATTTTTCTTACTACTAATTCTAGTAAATAGAATGCATTTTTATATAAGTATAGATTAATTTAATAAATAAAATTATTTTATTTGATAGATAGGTTTTAGCCTTGAAATATTTAGATCTCTATTTTTCTGGGCCTGTTTCTCCAACCTAAATGCTAAAACCTTATATTCTATATTTTGATCACTATTATTTTGGGCTTGTTTTCCAAGTAAAAGCTGCAACCTTATATTCCAAGCGGCCCAATGACTGGCTCGGTAAAGGATTTAAGATTAGAGGTTTTATGCAATTTTTTAAATGCTTATTTTAGCAAGATATGTTACAGTCTTGTTACGAAATCATTCCGTCTGAATTGCAACTGTAAGATTATAATGTAATCGTCGGAGATAGTTGATCTAACGGTTAACCGACGGTTCGACCGTAGCATTTCGCCATTTTAATTTGACTAATTAAGATCTAAGAATAGAATTTTTATGCATTTTTTTAATCCCTATTTTAATTTGAGTATTATTTAGTTTATTTATTTATATACTTTAGAGCTCCACTCAGAAGATTGAAAAGACAAAGTTGCCCCTTTGCTCAAAAGCAAATGTACGGCCTAGATGAGCTCCCTTGCATCCAACGGTTCAAGCCTGTCAACAACATATATATAATGCCATAGCAAAAACCCTAAATTTCATTTATCATCAAGCTGGTTGTCGGTGTTGGCCGTCTTTCGTACTTCCTACTCTAAGGATCTGAACACTGCGCATCCAATTTTCCGATCAAAATGGTGAGCTTACAATTTATTCATGGCGGATGTATTTTTTCTTCGAGATAATCGTAATAGCGGTTCACTTTCCTCCTCACTGCGGGTTTAATTTTGAGTATTTTTGTTTTAATGGTGTAAAATTAGGTTCTCCCAAACGACATCGATTTGCTCAACCCGCCGGCGGAGCTTGAGAAGAGGAAGCACAAGCTCAAGCGCCTTGTTCAGTCTCCAAACTCGTTTTTTATGGTATTATTATTCATTTACAGTAACTATTGATTCGTTTTTATGATAAAAGTTTCAATTTTTATTTATTTTTTTTTTGGTACCATGTATTTATTTATTTATTTTTGTGATTGTAGGATGTCAAATGTCAGGGCTGCTTTAACATGTGGGTTTTTCTTTCTCTTTCTCATGATTTTATCCTCCTTTTTTAACTATGATTCTGAAATATATGGTTAATGTTAAATGAATCATTTTACCTGTGTGAAGAAAGAAAGATTCAAACTTTGTCGATTTATGGGTTTTTGTTTGTTTGTGTCTTTGTGCTGTAGAACAACTGTTTTCAGCCACTCGCAGACTGTTGTTGTTTGCGGGAACTGCCAGACAGTGCTTTGCCAACCTACTGGAGGGCGTGCTAGGCTTACCGAGGGGTGCTCTTTCAGAAAGAAGGGTGATTGAAGTTGTTTTTGCCTGTTGGGATATATGAAAAAATGGTGGTCAGAGTTTGATTTGATAGTCTTGGTTTGTGCCCTGTTTGAGAATATGGCAGGGGTTTTGTGTCTGAATATTTCCTGTTTCTTGTTTTCTAATCTTTCATGGATTTTATGGTTCAGTTGAAAAGGATCTGTTGGATATTATCTTATGTAGGTTTTAATATGGAACATGAGAATGAATCTTGAAAGTTCTTGATTAAGTTCATCTTTGTTGCCGGCAAGCATTGGAGTATGTTATTGTTTCCTTGTTATATGGATATGATTTCTTGTGAAGTTGAGGATTGAGCTTAAGCATGTGTAGCTACTCAGCTGTCACCATGTTTCGTGGTATTTTGGTTTATGCTTTTCAGGTTGGGGCATTTGGTATGGTATTTTTAGGAAATAACACTGCTCCTTTAACTCAATGTGATTTTGCTCATATTAGGAATCTCTGGTCTGCATATTATTTCTGTGGACAACTATTGTTGAACTTATGTGTGACTTAGTGATGTTTAGCTGAAGCATTTGATGATTTCCTTACCATTTAGGGATCTGAATAGTATATTTTATGCTACTAAAATCATGATGCTCGACAGCATGAGATTAGAATGAGGAAAAGATTGTTGCGAGTTGCTCTTATATGATGCATATGTGCCCTTGTTTTAAGTTTGATTTTAAGGACAAAATTGTGGGTAATATGCAAATTTTGTGTTATTGATTTATATAATTAGGTGCTCTTTGCAGATTCTAATAAAATGATATATGTTCAATATTTGAGTAGGTATATATACTCTCCTCTTGGTAATTAAAGTTTTTATCATTATTTTGTTGATTTCTTATAATACTTGTTTTATTATGTTGTTTTTTGAAATTTGGAAGTCATGTTGCATTTTATGAACTGTTTATGGATTTGGAATATTGGCATCAGTCTGGTGAATTACAAAATTAAGTATATTTTGTCTATGGGATGAGTCTAGTGAAATAAAAAAAATTCAGTATTTTTGTGTATGGGCTGATATGTTTGTCTAGGGGCTGGCAGTAGCCTTGGCCCAGTGGTTTTGGTTTATATTTGGGGAAATTTTTAGTCACCCCCACACACACGATTGGGAAGATATTGCAATGTTACCATTCATAATAATTTAATTGTGTATATACCTAAGAGCATCTCCAGTGCATAAATGTTATCAAATAATTTTTGACAAATGTCAATTATTTAGATTGATTGTGAACCACATAAGATATTTGTTAAGTTCACAACTTTAAATCTAAAAAATTATCTACAATGCACAATATCAAACATAATATTGTCCATTTGGTAAAAAAAAAAAAGTTACAAATAAAAAACCAAAACAATTAAATATTTTAGATATTTTGAAAATGGTAATGAAATTTATCTCTCATCTCTTAATTGGTTGATTGAAATGTGAAAGAGAATGTGGATGGACTATATTCTTATCTACATTGTGGACATTAATTATGTTCACCTCATCACTATATTTTCCATTACATTGTGCATTGTAGTATTAAAAGTAGAGACAATGCTAAACTAGTTAATATAAAGTGTAATTTTTAACAACTACATTGTACCATTGGAGATGCTCTAATAGATAATAATTAATTACATTCATGTGTAAAAATCAAGGAAATAAATAGCTCGCTAAAGTTGTCGCTATTTGAGAAATAGCTTTTTTTGGCAGCGTGCCGCTATTTGTATTCATGTGCAATTTAGTCGCTAATCCCGCTAAATCTCCGCTATAGCTCCGCTATAGCTACAGTGCCATAAACATTTTAGTCCGCTATTTAAAATCTTGGTAAAAATCAGTAACAGATAGGCCACCTTCATTCCATATTTATAGCTCATGAGTCATTCCATATTTATAGCTCATGATTTCCTGGTAGTTCGCAAAAAAAAAAAAAAAAAAAAAAAAAAAAAAAAAAAAATTGGCGTCAGATCGTTTTTTTTTTCTGTTTTCATTGATATACACACACACACACAAAAAAAAGAACACAGAGGGGGGCGTCGATCGTTTTCTTCAGCAATAACAATTCACGAACATATACTACTAAAAAAAGAAAAATATAGGGGGTCGATTGAATTTTTCAGCAATAACACTTCCGCAGCATATACCCTCAAGAAAAAAACAATAGTCGACTACATATATATTTCACATATATCGTACATATATTGATCCTATGTTGTATATATACCACAACACAACACAACACAACACAAAAGATAGAGGCGCGATCAATTTTTTCTTAAGAAAAGTTACGAAAATATACCACGAAAAAGGTTGACAGATCTATTAAAATCAAGATATATTTTTTCCTCCTGTCAGGTAAAAAAAGTATATATTTAATATATACTGTATATATACCACAACGCAGCCAAACGATAGAGGCGCGATCATTGTTTTTTCTTAAGAAAGCTTACGCAATTATACCACAAAAAAAAGTTGAAAGGTCGATCAAAAAGATGTTCCTCTTCTCTCTCGTCGACTCCATGGAGAACGATTCTCTAATTGCCTACCTGGAGATGATGACCGCGGGGATGGCTCGGTAGAAGATTTCGTCGGGGGAGTAGGACTCGGTGGAGGATAAGTCGGCGTTGAAGGGGACGTATATGGTGGAGAAGCCATGGGACGAGGCGTGGCGACGGGCCTCGTCACGGAAGTTCTCACCAGCGGGGCTTCGGTGTTTGATCGAGGCGGAGGCAGCAGTGGAAGGAGGATCGGAGGAGGTGGCGGACTTGTGTGAAGGGGGATCGGAGGAGTCGAGTGAATCAATCAAAACGGCTTGATTGATGCTATTGGGCTTGGAAGGGGGATCGCAGGAGTCGACTGATTCGATTGATGCTATTGGCGCGGACTGTGAGGTGGCGGTGGCACAGACGGTGGAGGGTTTTGTGTTAAGAAGAAAGAGAGGCCGTGTGCGAAGAAGAGAGAGAGGGGGGACGGGGAGATGTAGTTGTTGGAAAGTTATCATTTAAATAGGAAATCAACTTTTTATGCATATATATACAAATAAATTTAACAAATTTAGTTAATTTGCAAATAATTATGCAAGGGATTGTTTAAGTGGGGCGTGTTAATTCCTCTTAATTTATTAGGCGTTGGTTACACGACAAGTTAGGC